ATCATCCGGGTTCTAGTTTCCTTGCCTTGATGGAGGCAAACTCTTTTTTTTTTTTTTAGCAGCACATGGTACTAAAGTTACCTGACATGGTGGGTCCAGAACTCACAACAGCTGCAACTACTTGGGAAGTGCATTTCTGGGTCATTCACCATATTTCCATTTACCTCTGCTTCCTCAGCCTTTTTCATCCTAAAGCACACCTCCAGGCCCACTGTCTGTTCTCTCCGGGCTTTGTTACCCGGTCACTGCTGATCTGATCAATACTGAGAAAGACAGGGTATAAAGCACAGAGTTCTGTCCGAGCTTGAGGGCAGTATACAGCAGTGCAGCTATGAAGCTGAGTTCTGATTGAGACTTATTTAAAAAGGTCCAAAAATAAATGTATCTTCTTAACAATGTTACTCTGACCTACCTAGTAACCAATATTCTGAGGCTATGAATTTTAACAAGTTTAGTTACCTTTCCATTCTCCCTCCTTTTCTCCCCATATTTTTTCAGGCACTTAGTGTCCACCCTTGTCTAAGCCGCTGAAGCTGCCAGCAAAGATGGATGCAATGAAATCTCTGGCAGGGGAACTTGTCCATCTATCTTACTCACGGTGACTCGATGCAATCTTCTCAAGGGCCTAATCCTAAAGTCTTGAATATTTATGATGCTCAAATTTCCTGGCTTTTCCTTATTCACCCTGACGGCAAAGAGCTATTGTGGGTTTCAATAAAGTGAGAAAAATACACAATGAAGAACCTCAGTTTAAATTCACTGGGCTCTTTTTGACCTGAGAAGCTTTAGGGCAATTTAAAAACACAACTATAAAGAGGATGGAATTTGTTTTGCTCTAAGTAGAGAAGAGACTCTTCCTCTGCCATTGACATGCATCAGGTACAATCTTACAGAAATATCAGTCATCGTATGTGGTCCTGTTCAAGCTTAACGACAGTCCCTTATTTCAAATAGCAAGTACAAATTTAACCAACACTTTAAGTGCATTTAAATAAAAATGCTTCATATAGACACCAGCAATTGAATGAACAACAAAAGCCTGATAATTTAGTTAATATAACTTAGCTAAATATTATTCAATATATCTGAATGGGAGAGAATATTAATGGAGATGTTAATAAAGAATAATTTAGATGAATAAAGATCAAATGTTTTCGAGGCTATCATTCCAGATTACAAAATAAAACTTTTTAATCCACAATTTTTTAATCTGAAGATGTATAAAATAATCCATTTTAAAATAAGGCTAAGCTCATAATATCACTTATTAAAAAATGCTTTCATTTTTTATTTTTTAAAGTATATTTTTATTGATTTTAGGAAGGAAGGGAGAGGAAGAGAAAGAGAGAGAGATCAATGATGAGAGAGAATTATCAATCACTTGCCTCCTTCCCACCGCCCCCCTACTGGGGATTGAGCTTGCATCCCCAGCATGTGCCCTGACCGAGAATTGAACTGTGACCTCCTGGTTCATAGGTCTACACTCAGTCTATGAACTGAGCTACGCTGGTCAGGTGAAATCTATTTTCTTTAGTCCACTTCAACTAATGTTTATAATTACATAGCATTTGTACCCAAGGTAGGGTACATAAGATGTCTCCTTAAATGTTCATTTTCTCATGTAGCTTTTTAAATAATATTACTAAAAATATATATATTCAGGTGATTTTAAAATCAATTCTGGCCATAGCCGGTTTGTCTCAGTCGATAGAGCATTGGCCTGCGGACTGAAAGGTCCCAGGTTCGATTCCGGTCAAGGGCATGTACGTTGGTTGTGGGCACACCCCCAGTGGGGGGGGTGCAGGAGGCAGCTGATCGATGTTTCTCTCTCATCGATGTTTCTAACTCTCTATCCTGCTCCCTTCTGCTCTGTGAAAAAAAATCAATAAAATATATTTTTTAAAAAAACAAAAACAAAAACAAGTAAAAATAAAATCAATTCTGCTCCTAGTAATCTTTCAAGAAGATATTTTTATACATGGTTTTAAACACATACTAGTATATCCCTTAGACTATTTTAACTAATAAGTGTTACCGACATTTTTTAAAAAGTACCCTAAATAACTATTTAATGTTTTTTTCTGTTGATTTGAGAAATCAAGGCAATACATTAAGAAACAATAATTAAATATCTTTGTGAGAATTTGCAATTTATGTTAATCATTACATGAAACTTAATTTTAAAATATTCCCACAGGACAATTCAAGTAAAAAAAAAAGAGAGAGAACAGATTCTTTATTAAATACTGGGTATTGACTCATGGAAAATATATTTTTATAGAATTTAATTTATGTATAAGTAAGAAATCATTATTTATTTGTTTGTTTGTTTTTTCCAACTGCAATAGACATATACACAAACTGTTATTTCCAGATAATGACTAGCTTAAAGTTTGGCTTTGTTCTAGGCACTATTCATTGAAGATTAGATGTCAAAAGACTATGTTTCTTACCTCAAAAGACTAATAAACTAATCTAGAATCTGTAACCTGGATGTAATGGTTAAAGTCTTTCTTGACTTCTTGAGTTCTCATCTTGGATTTGTGAGTCGGGAAACCTGTCTTTTCTCCTCTCCATAGCTTCATGACCACTGTCATTTCTGGATGGCTTTGTCACAGTCGTGCTTCACTGGTTTAGCTCCTGCTCTCACTGGTTGGTCAAATTAATATTTTCAAGTTTAACATACACCGAGTGGATTTTACCCCACACAGTGAGGTGATCATCACGTGCTCCAGCAAGGCTGAAGCTCCAAATCTGGATCCCACTGTTTGTAACCAGTGTGTTAGCGAGGTAGCAATAGAAGTCAGCAAGACCGCCTCTAAAATAAATATCCCCATGATATTGCTGCTAAACCTGGGCAGCAATAACTCAAACATTGTGATTGTGTCAAGTCTGGTTTATGTGTTGGCATTTTCTCAGTCACACTAAAAGTACCTGAGAATAATGTTCCTTACCCCCTATTTTCCCTTGCAGACATAATTCCTACTCTTTCCTGTAGAAATCTCTGCCCATCTGAGGCTCTTACTCCATAACTATACCACTTTTTCCTAGCCTTTACTGTGCCCATCTTTTGAATTTGTGAGCATGTCATTCAGCATAAGGATCTAGCTATTCCTGCAAGGAATTCTTGTGCACCACATCCAAGCATACCCTGGTAACTGTACTTCAGGATCCTACACAATACATACTGACTGAATATGCTTGTGCCTCCAAGATTATTATCCTCCACACTATCTCAGCCATCATGTCCCACAGTTACTACCTAAAAATAAAAACAAAAACAATCCAATATATATATATGTGTATATATATATATATATATATATATATATATATATATATAGTTAAGTGTCCATTCATCTGACCAGTTGCTATGACACGCACTGACCACCAGGGGACAGACGCTCAATGTAGGAGCTGCCATGACATGCACTGACCATTTAAAAATAAACGGTACTGTGGACCTGGCACTGACAAACCAACACTTAGCTTCCCCCAAGTGGGACACAGGCCCTGGCATCACCCTGGAGTGATACCCCACCAAATCACAGCCAACACTGCCGAGACCCCATGGCGCAAAATGCAGCCCCCAGCCTAAGCACAGCCCAGAAACGGTTGCTGTGGGTGCCGTGTAATAATGTCACATAGCAAAGCCTGGCTTCCTCCCCCCAGTGTAGTGATGGCGAACCTTTTGAGCTCGGCATGCCAGCATTTTGAAAAACCCTAGCTTAACTCTGGTGCCGTGTCACATATAGAAATTTTTTGATATTTGCAACCATAGTAAAACAAAGACTTATGTTTTTGATATTTATTTTATATATTTAAATGCCATTTAACAAAGAAAAATCAACCAAAAAAATGAGTTCGAGGGTCACCTCTGACACGCATGTCATAGGTTCACCATCACTGCTCTAGTGACTAGCCTCATTGGAGTTTCTTCAGCCCAGGAACATGACTTGCTTTATAGCCAGGTGCAAACACTTTACAGGTTAACCAAATGTTTGTGAACTGTTTTCCAGTGTCTCATCTCATTTGATCCTCACATAAGTCCTGGAGTATGTAGATAGGAGACTTGGTAGAATCCTATTGTCTTTTCATTAGCAAGACAATAGAGATTTAGAACGTTTAGAAACTTGACTCAACTGAAAAGTAGTAAGAAATGGTGGAACTTGAAAATGACTTTAGGTTTTCTCATTGCGCAGAACATAGTCAAACACTGCTACAGCTAAGAATTTTGCCCTTTGTTCTCCCTGCGTGATCTACAACAATAATCTGCCTCGTGTTGATATTTACTGCTGGGTTGCTGACTATTACCTGAAAGAGAAGTTGGGGTGCTTCACTGGGCTGGAAAAAGTTTAGCTAAATCAGAAAGCAGGTCTAATTAAGCAAGTTTATTCTACAACTATGAAAGGCTAAGTTGACTCACACATGTACAATACATATAACATTCTCACTGGCACCAATTGCATGCATGTGTTTCAATCTGTCATTATTGATCATGAATTGGTTGACACTTCTATTATAAAAAAAGGGCAAATAGTGATATTAAAATATTTCTTCTAATTAATTCCCTTTCAATGTGCATGAATCCGTGCATTGGGACACTAGTAATAATATAAGAAGACAAGTTTAGAATCAGTAAATCTTGCCGTGTGGAGAATAAAGATCATGGGTATCTTCTTGGGGCATTACCAAGACTACAGAATTCATCCCTCATTTTCGCAATCCCAATTCACAATGATCTGTGTATAGATGGATTCACACATCTATTGAAGAAGGCATCAATGAAATAATCAACTGAAAAACAGTGGGATCAGTTTCACTGGAAAGAATTGAGTATTTCTTTTCCTAACTATAAATCTTGATTTAATCATTAAATATTCTATATTAAAACTAAATTAAGGCTAAAACTCAAGTAAAGTATATTTAAGTCATGCTGAAGATCAATATTACTACAGAGAAAAAAATTAGTTTCAAAAGTGAAAAGAAAACCCACAAACCTTTTTTTTTCAAGGGAGGCTCTTCTATTTCTCCTAAACCAAGACAGAAAACAATAAATTAGAAAATCTTTTAACATAGCATAATATTGCTTCTCTATTTTCACATTTTATTTTTTAATTTTTAAAAACATCTATTTGTTTTGACAACAAAAGTCCTTATGTTACTTTGTTTTCAAAATTCCAGTTTTTAAATATAAACTTTGTTTAGGTACATTTATTAGACATAGTTCTACTTTTATGAGTTCAATAAAATTGTGGCAGTGATCCAAATTATACATCATAGTTCGTATATCATGTGAATTTCAGTTCTCTATTGTTCTTCTCCACCACTCACTGGGGCCAAGCAAATACAAATTCAGACAGAGTCATATAAAGGGCTAAAATAATTGGAGCCTTCCTGGTAGTCAAGGCTGAATAATGATGACTAAGGTTGTCCCTAAAAATGTCACTAAAATGCAGAATCAAAATGCTCTGTCTTTTCACATCTATTCAATAGTAATTTATGTGTAATTTGAGTTTATTTATTTTTATTTATTGACATATGAATATATATTAGTTGCATAATTGTTGTAACATTTAGAATGTGTCCCTCTATTCTACAGCTCCGTTTGATTCAATAAATTTACTTTTGATTATGATTTTAATAGGATTTGACTTTGAACATGACTTATGTGCATAAAACATTTATATGTATGTTTAGTTTTACAGTTACTTCAGCATTTCTAAAGATAAACTTGAGAAACAGCTATTACTTTCCTCCAAGAAACATGTAAATGTTTCTATTGTGTGCTTATAGTAGTACAATATAAGACCTTCTACTATATTGCTACTTTGATGGTAGCATTTACTATTGACATATTTGCCATATGGCAGATAAACTATAAGGTGAAAGCCAAACTCATTTACTGAGTTTGGCATTCTGTTGATTCTCTATGAGCACTCAGAAGTATATCCATTTTGGTTTAGATGGACCAAGTTCTCATTTTTGCTTAAATGTAAGCAAACCCCTGTGACGGATATCTAATATTGGTCCCAGCAGTTAAATATGTCTCTTTGCTTTTTGTACCTGTATCAGTGTCCTCGTCCCCATCTTCTTCTTCTTCTTCATCACCCTCAGACGAGATGATGTCAGACAACAAAGAAAAGAAGCCATAGACCCAGTCCGTAGTTTCCTCCACTGCATGATGTACGAATTTTACAGGATCTGAGCCAATCTTGGAAATAGAGCTTGCTAAAAGTAATTTTAAAAGAAGAAAATTTTACAGCAATTCCCCAAAAAACTAAGAAAGACTTTTCCAGATTTGTTCTTTTGACTAAATGAATATGTCAATTTTATGAATTTAAGTAGCTCTTGGCTACATTTTTTTGTGTGTGTGCTCAGAAATATAAATTGCATTTTTTTTAGTAAGCACATGCATTCAATTAAAAATGAATGTTATTGGGTAACTGTGGTTCAAATACTATGGGGTTACCAATAATGCAGCTTCCCTTGAGAAGTGTTAATCTAAATAAAAGTTTAACATGGGAAAAAATAGAAATATATTAAAATAATATATAGTTTTGTTACCCAAACTGCAATATAAACTCTAAGTTATGGATGGTCAGGAAGAAAAGATATCATGGTTGGCCCATATTGTACTGGAAAACATCATGGTAAAGAAGACTTTAAATTTTCAGATAAACTCTAAGTTCCAAGTTGACTTAAGTAGCTGTGACTAAAATAAGACTGATAGGTCCATTTATTATCATTTGTGATATAGTAAGAAAAATATGGAATTGTCACGGTAGTGATCATTTTGAGCTCTGGTTAGATTCAATTTGTTCACCCTTGTTAGATATCCCAACACCTAAAAATAAAAAGTCTTTGAACTTCTAATAACTGTAATGGATAAAGTTAGAAAACATATAAAGTCCACAAATTTGTCCTTTTCTTTTATACTAGAGTGGTAGGCAAACTGCGGCCCGCGAGCCACATGTGGCTCTTTGGCCTCTTGAGTGTGGCTCTTCCACAAAATACTGACTTCTACGCATGGGCCACGAAGTTTCAATCGCACTATACATGCACGCCCACACGTGATATTTTGTGGAAGAGCCCCACTCAAGGGGCCAAAGAGCCGCATGTGGCTCGCAAGCTGCGGTTTGCCAACCACTGTTAGGAGATATAAAGTATTTGCAGAATGAGAGATTAAATAATAAAAATGTAATCAATTAGACATTTTAGGGATTTTCAAAATATTGTTCTTCTCATTCAAATTATAAGAAAATTTCTCTGAAGGGGTAAGACCAGTGTTTAAGATCTGATTGCAGAGGTGGTCTACCCAGAAACACAGTATACATTGAACCTGATTTTTCATCAACCTGTAATTAAATTTTAGATTTATGTTTTCCTTAATTCAAAAAACTACTTTAGCTTTGCAGAGATTATTTTCTCTTTGATATTTTAAGAGGCTAGAATTATACCAACATATTATATTATCTAAAGGTTAAGTACTTCAAAATTAGTCTTTAACTCTGATTGTGATAGGAAGTCACTGAAAGAGGAATGAAGTGATTTTACTCATGTAATGTCTTTTGCTGTGTTGCGTATTGGAAGAATTCCAGGTTGGAAATAGGAAGATCAGAAAGGAGCCAAATGAAGTAATCTAGCAGAAAAATTACCATAATTTCTATCAGGGTTTTAACAGTGTGTGGGATGAGATGTGATCAGATTGTGAATGTATTTAAAAGATAGAATTAGACTGACAGTTTGCCTATAGGGTGTGAAAGAGAAGGATACAAGATAACTTTAAGGTTTGGGGTATAAGAAACCAGAACAATTGAAATGCCATTTTCTAAAATGGGAAGAGCTGGAGAGAAGCAGCAGGGATTTTAGGGGGAGCATACAAGTAGTTGAGTTTCAGGCTTGTCAAACTTGAGTTGCCTTTCACACACCTATATGTCATATTGTATAGCTCACTATGTTCTACAAAAGGGAAGTCCTCATTGAAGATAGAAACTTGGGGGTTTGAGAGAGAATAGAAGGTATTGAAAGACATGACACTGAATGTGATCACTGAATGTAATCAACAAGAGAGTATGTCCAGGAACACTCCGACATTAATATACTAGCTATACTAGATAGATATGAAGTGAAGAATTGTTTTGAGGACAGAATGATCACTGACAAATGTAGCTGATAGGTCAAGTGAGAATGACTTTTAGCTCTAATGATGATGTCATTAGCAATCTCAAAGGATAGTTTCAGGGGGATGCATTCAAGACCAAGTGGGAAGAATCTAGAGGCAGTGAGTACATTTTACTGTAAAGTAAATGACAGAAATTCGGAAATGGTTGAAGGACTGGAATCATAGTGGGTTTTCTGTTGTTGGTACTATTAAAGAAGGAATAAATATTCCATTTTTATGCTGATGGATAAGATTCCACAGAGGGGGGAAATGATAGGAGAGAGAAGATTTCTAGGGAAATTTTAAATTTTATGTTCTATTTGAGGAGATTCACAACCCATTCAAGGATGACAAGTTATAAAATGCTGGCCTCAGCAAAACCTATCTCCAGGATTCAGTGTCATTGTAACTTTACTCTTTGGTCCTTATTTTGCTACATTCTGGAGAGTTGTGTGAGCAAGGTATGGTAGTCTGAATGGATAGATTAAATCTGAGAGAAAGGAAATGAATGGATTTTATTATTGCAATTGAGAATTTTAAAAGAGTTAAATATACAGAACTGGATTGTACTGACATCATTAAAGACATTTTAGCCCTTCTATATATTATATCTAATGGAAGAATACTGCAAATGGAGTTTTTATGATCTGAATAGATTGAGACCATTTATCCATTCCCCTTCTTTCTAAGTGTTCACTGAGGAACATAACAATAAAATCCAACAAAATAGACATCTGTTTAATTATCCTTATGCGTAAATGTATTATATAAACTCTGCAGACATGTATATATTGCCTGGTTTTAAAATAGCCAAATTAGCCGAAACCGGTTTGGCTCAGTGGGTAGAGCGTCGGCCTGCGGACTGAGAGGTCCCAGGTTCGATTCCGGTCAAGGGCATGTACCTGGGTTGCGGGCATATCCCCAGTAGGAGATGTGCAGGAGGCAGCTGATCGATGATTCTCTCTCATCGATGTTTCTAACTCTCTATCTCTCTCCCTTCCTCTCTGTAAAAAATCAATAAAATATATATAAAAAAAATAAAATAAAATAAAATAGCCAAATTAGACTACTTTTATGAAGTCAATGTTGCTGGCTTGAGATCAGCTTCTGATTTTTAGCCACTTGGACAACAACTTTTAAAAATGATAGATATGGACTAGTTAGGTAGATTAGATATAAATATAGATAGATATAGATATAGATACAGAGATAGAGATATATACTAGATATACTACTAGATACATAGATCTTGAATAAGATAGCAGTCCTCAAGTTAATTCTTATTCCTTCCCTCAGACATCCAAATCATTTCAAAGGGAATAATATACAATGCAACTAAACCTTTTATTAATGTCTTCCTTTTTAAGAGTACTCAGATAACTTTACTTTCTTACCTCTCCTGTTTCCATGAGTTAAATTACATATATCACAGTGAGGATCCTCAGATAACAACAGTAGGTAACACTTATAAAGTGCATGTTACCTGGAAGATATCATTCTAAGAGCTTTACAAATATTAACTTACTTTTTCCTTTCGATAATCCAATTTGGTAGCTATATTATTTTATCTCTATATTAAGTATAGAAACACTGAGACACTGGGACATAGAGAATAATATGGCTAAGGTTACACAGCTAGTAAATGAAGGAGTCTGACTTTGTACCCTCCAGAGCATGACTTTTAGCTATTATGTTATGTTATACTGCTATCAAACAAACAATGACATGAATTCACAATTGTTTCTGGAATAAGATGTTGGATGGGAGATTCTTGAAGGGGTTTTCTTGCTGTTAAAAGGGGGAACAAGAAGTTGTGGCATGGTGTCAGAGAACCTGGAGCTGCTGTGGCTACGTTATGCCCACACAAACTGTAGCTGGATCACTAAGAAAGGCAAAGGTTAAAAATGAAAGAACTTGAGTCCATGACATTGCTGAGGCATTGAATTATCCAATCTTGGAATTATCACCTGCTTCCAGCACTTCCATTATATGAGATAAAAATGTTTCTCAGTGTTCAAGTACTCTTAATAGTATCTTCCATTTCTTACAGAAATGTATACCACCAGATGCAGGGGAAACTGCTTTAGGCTCCTTAAGATCAGTAATTGGATTCTTGACACTCATAAAAGAGTGCTAAGAGAAGAAAAAGTTTAAAAGTTAAATAAGATTTTTATTTGTTCTCTGTCTTTGAAGCCACACTTTATAGATTCTTAAGTTTCTAAATATACTAGGGAAATTGGATTAGTCATTTTTTTCTGCTTTCCTCCTAAAGAACCAATCCCATGTCTTCACCATTATCTTTGACCATCAGTCTTATGTTCTTTAAGCTGTATTTGACTCTTCTTTATCTTTCATATCCAGAGAAACATCAGCAAATGATGGTTACAAGAATGGGCTCTGAACTCATATTGATAGCATTCAAGTTCAAGCCTCCCTCCTTGGGCAGTGCCAAACCATACTGGAACCAGAAACAAAAGGAAAATTTGGTGAAAATGATCCTGTCTTCATTTAAAATTTTTGATATTTTGTAATCACAGTTGTTTGCATTAATTCTGAATTGTTAAATATTGCATTAGAATATCATTCATTTTAATTGATGAATTTTCTAGAACAGTCTTCAATTTTACATGTAAGGTAAGTTCTTTACCCACCTCAGGCTAGTCCTGGTGCTCCCCAACTAAGAGCTGTGTGATGATCAGAAAATCAGCTTTTGCCATGTTTATACAATTCATTGAGACCTCTGCTTTTCCAAAGTCACTAAGCTAAGTCAAGACCACAACGCCTCATGCCAATTACTTCTATATTCAGCCTGCTCATAATCCAATTTATAATATGCTGAGTTCTGACAAACAGTGTTATACAGTGGGGAAAAAATCTCAAAGCACTCTGTGCTTCAGTTTGCTGAACTGTAAAATGACAATAAGAGTAATAATATCTCACAAGGCATTGTGAGTATTATATGAAATAATACATACAAATCACATGCCACAGTGCCTGGTAATTATTCAATGTCAATGTGGAGAAATAAGCAAGATTGTCTTTGAATCTAGGACAGTGATGGCGAACC